TCACTGTCAGGGCGGCTAGGATCTGGAACCAACTTCCAAGAGAAGTGGTGCTGGCTCCTACCCTGGGGGTCTTTAAGAGGAGGCTGGATGAACACCTTGCCGGGGTCGCTTGACCCCAGTACTCTTTCCTGCCATGGCCGGGGGTCGGACTTGATGGTCTGCTCAGGTCCCTTCCGACCCGACCAACTATGAAACTATACCACAGGTTATAGAATCAGCTGGCAGGAAATCCTCCTGGAGGAGTCAGACTTCACATTCATTATTTCACTTGGACAGGTCTTTATTAGTGTGCAGTAGGCTCTGGGTACGTTGCAGGTTAGGTTTCTGCATCTGGGGATACACAGGCCGCACAGCACTGTGGCTGAGGTCCAACTTATGGGGGAAGTGGCCCCCCTTGAGGTAAAGCCACAACAAAACAGCTAAGCAGCTTGTTAGACGGGTTGCAACCTACCTGCATTGAATGATCTGGGCTCTGCTGCGTTAATCGATGAATCATCCATTTGGACTGAATGTTGATCTGAATGTCGGGTCTCCTTTGTATTGCTGACTGGCTCGGTACAGGCCTTGCTAGTCTCACAGCTTTGCTGTACTCCATTTTTCAGAGATGTTGCAGCGATAGTGTTGATACACTTCACAGCTGTCACATGGTTTAATTTGCTAATAATTTGTCTTCAGCTGAGACTCCTTTTTTCTTTTGATAGAACTAAAAAATTAAGGTAAGCCACAAAAATGCCTAGCAAATACATTAAGGGATTGATTCAAATACACGAAGAAACAGATGATGGCATGCTTAGTTCTTCCTGTGGTGTTTAGCTATTACAGAGACCTTTTCAGACTCCAGGTCACTTAAACAAAAGACAGTTCTATCTCCACCAGAGTCATTGTGGGTTTTGCACTTAAATGTGCCTGGGATTTCACTTCACAGCTGCTGTGCACACATTCCTAGGACAGTACAGCTGAAGACACTTTCCTATCTGTCTTAGTTTAATTACAGAAATCTGCAGGGTTGTTTTTTTTAAAGTACCATAGTTTTAATCCTGTTAAAGCACTGAGGTCTGTATAGTCATAGTACTTAAAATTCAGATGTACATTTTTTCTAATTAAGAAGAATGTAGAAATAATGAGCAAATTAAGCCTTGAGATAACTGTGCAGTATCACTATCGCTGCAACATCTCAATGAAAAATGGAGCACAGTAGAACTGAGACTATCAAGACCTACACTGAGTTGGCCAGCAGTACAAAGGACACCTGACCTTCAGACCAACGTTTGATCCAAATGGATGATTCATCAGTTAATGCAGCATAGTCCAGATCATTCAATGCAGGTAGTTTCCACCCCGAATGCTAAGGCTCTGTAATGGATATTTACACTTAAACTATTTATAAAATGGCTTTTTATTAGTTCCACAGGCAGAATATTGTAGTGCCCCTTTCCAGGCAGGTGTTCTCTATTTTGGGAGCATAGAATTATAATTTTAGTGACTATATTTATTAAAACAGTCCATGACACCCATCAGTTTGTGTGCATACCGTATTTTGTTGCATAGAACATGCCCTGACATGTCATGTACACTTGATTAATGAAAGGCGAAATGAAGAGAAAAAGATTCTCCTTGCAGCGAGTAACTGAGTAGCAGCAGCGAGGGAGTAGAGCCTGCTCCACAGCCGGCAGGACTGTTATTACCATATTTGTTGCATATAAAGTACAGTACAGGTAATAAATTATTTTAAATGTAAATGCACCTTGGTTTGGTGTCACACAAACCATTATGGTACAAATTCCTACGACTGTCCTGACTTCATAGATACATAAGTATATGTTTATATAAAAGTATCACAATTTACATTATATACTGTAGGCCAGGGGTGTCAAACTGTCCTGTGCCCCGGACCTGGACCTGGACCGTGAGGCTCCTTGTGACCCAGATCCAGGTTGCCTGGAGCTTCTTGGGCTGGATTCAGACTCAGCAATGGGGTGAATGGCAGCAGCGACTGCGGGGCAATGGTGCAGGGGTTAACGCAGCCATCACGTGCCCTCCCTGCTGCCAATGTATATTCCTGTCGGGGCGCCAGGTCAGTGGCAGGCTGTCCCTTGCTAGCCTCGCCCCAAGTTCCTGGCCCCTCTTGAAGTTCACTGGGCAGCAAAAACTGCTGCATGGGCTAGAGCTGGCTTGGATGCCCTGTCCTAAGCCAGTGGAAACTTTGTACGAGTATCTGTCCTTAATGAGTTCTGAGCTCTGTAAAGGTTGGATCTGTGCTCAGCTCCCTAGGCTTTGAAAGCTTTGATCTTACTTAAGCTTAGTGGGTCTGACAAATGATACAGCCCATGGGTGTTGCAACATTGCTGCAGACACAAGAACTTAACATTTTTAAAACTGAGATTGCTCAGGAAAGTAAAGTCACACTATTGCCTGTGATGTGTTTGTTACCTGATTAATGGCGTTGCCTGTGGGTTAGCGAAGGTTGGGAACCACTGGTTTACACTTAATTCACTCTGGATTTAATCAACTCAATACTTAGGGGATTTTGGTGGATAAAGATAGGTGAGTTAGGAATTAATAGTTTACAAAAGAAAATGGAAAATTAAAATGTCGTTGGAGATTTGGACCACAAATGAGGCCAAAAGCTAGGAATAATATTGCCTCAGGTCAGACATTCCTGGTAATAATTATAAACCAGGTAAAAGTTCCATGTAAGGGAATGGCCATGTCCCCCAAAGAAAATAAGTAAAGCCTGAGAAGTAATACAGACTTCTCAGATGTGTGAGATAATCTGTATTGCTAGTAAAGACAGACAAGAGGAATGTGACTGGAAAGCAGCTGCTCACATGTCAGTAGATACCTGACAGGGGCACCTGGAGGACAGTAGGTAATAGCTCTATCCTGTTTTCTAATTTCTAACGGAGCCAAAGGGCAAATTAACAACTGGCAAGGAGTATAAAAACCCAACCAATACCTAGCAGTAATCTAACCTTCGCCTCCCATGTAATTATAGGAGAATGAGTAAAGGAATACGCATGTTGGCTCATAGTTACAAAGGTAATGAAAGTGTTAGGTCATGTGTAGTGTAAAATCTGATCCTTGAGGTAACTGCATCACGAATCAATGAAAAACTTATTAACTACTGAGCTAGCAATCATAAAAAATTAATGTACAAATTCAGCTATTGACAGGCAATTGGATCAAGACTGAGTCGTGTTCTAAAATAGTGATTGTAGCGTTGTAGCTGTAATGGGCCTCCGGCAGGTGTTTTCCAGCTGTGGTCTGCACCCCTGGGGGCTTGCACACTGTCTAAGGGGTCCACGTAAGATGGCTATGACCAATCAAAAGTAAGTGAATACCCACATGTACAATTCAGAGGGGTCTGCACCTCCCTTTGAAATTTCCAAAGGGGTCCACACCTCTGTTTGAATTTTTTCAGGAGTTTGCAAATGAAAGAAGCTTGAAAACCACTGGTCTACGGAATAAATGAGAAGCAGGATTTGTTTAACATCTCTCTTTTTTTTTTGGTCCAACAGTACAGTTCAGGAAGTCAGGCAAGGTTTTAGGCACAAAATGCTATTCTTCAGGTCACCTCTTTCCCATCTGCATAGTTGGTCCAGTAAAAGATATTTCACTTTGAGTCGAAAAACAAGTCAGGAAAATAAGGATTGGGCCAACATGGGGCATCATAAACATCCAAGGAAATGGAAACCTTTGAGTTGCCACTGCCTAAAAAAAAATGAATTGTATGCTGTTCTGAAAACCATTGGCTTAGCAGCAGAAGTAGCCTGAATGAATTGCTTGGAGTACAGACCCTTTCACCAGCAGTAAAAGCAAAAAGGTTCTGCCAGCTAGCTAGACTGTTCACGGGTCCTCGCAATCCTAGAAGAGCACAAAGTCCTAACACTGGAACCAGTAGTAGGCATCTCATGGATCCTTCATTGCTCTCCCTGCAAAACCACCCACAAATCAGCCTCGGTTTAGTGAACTGCAGGTCAATACAAGGCTTGGAATAGGTAACATAAACCTGTGTACTTATTTCAGCGTCACGCACAGATGACTTTGCCACCTAAGGGAGTTGATTGGCTCCCTTGGATACAAATAAGCTCAAAGGCAAATTTTTAAAAAATGTTAGAAGGAAATGGAAAACTAAGCTGGGACAAAATGGGCATAAGCAGCATTGCATCTATCTTGCTTCAGCTTTTTCTAATTTAAAATTGAAATAGCCTGTTTCCTAATTCAGATAAAATATTCTCTTCTGTTTCTTTTTGCAGGTTCCCTAGAGTCTGTTACCTGAGGGTTTTGAATAGTAAAATGGTGAAGTGTTCTCACTACACTAAAGAAGTGTGCTGATCAGTCATCATGAATCATTTTCAAGTGCTGTAATGCTAGATGACTGTTTCAGTTACCACATGCTGTCCTTTTGGTAGCTAATAGCTTAAGGACTAAGTTAACATAAAACTAATCTCAGATGTAGAAGCCTCTATGATGCTGGCTTGTGAAGAGATAAAGTTTCATGTATTCATGAGGTCAAGACCTTTTCTTTTTTTATGGAGGAATATCACATTAAAAATACAGTATCCATTTTCAGTTGAAGGACTAAAAATTATAGAGTATCAATTTTCAGTTGAACAGACTAAAATTATACATCTATACAGTAGTTTGCAGATAGAAGTAAGAACAGTTTTGTAAATGCATTGTACCGTTCCAGGAAATTGCATGGATATGCAGACTTTCTTTCACGCTATCTGAAACTATCTGCATGTGCTTATTACGTTTAAATTAATTTGCAGCAGTGCCTAAGACTGGAGCATATAGAAGCTTGATGGATATTAAAGATTGTGAAATCGGTATGGCACAGTGCAGGTACAACATCTGTGTGGAGGTTTTTGTTTCCTTGCCTGTTAAATAGCTGATCATCCAACACTTGAAATAAAGGATCAGAAACCAAGGAAGTTATTCTCTCCTGCATTGAAACAATATACTTACTACCCCAGCTGTGTTTAGAGGGAAAGATTTCCAGTTCTAAAATTTCTCTCTTGTCAGTTGACCAGCATCTTAATATAAATTCCATTTCCTTATCTAAGTTAAATTTATCCTCGCCTGAGTTTTGCTATTTGCATCTGAACTAGACATTTCAAGATTCTATTACTGATCAAAAAATCATTGGAGTTTTCGGCGGCATTGAGATTTGAGAATGAAAATTCCTTCTGACCTTGAAGCAGGGGAGTTGTTTCGGTAACCACAGTTGATTTTCTGAAGAAGAAATATATTGCACCAAATTCTGTAATAAACTTTGAAGTGGTATTTAGACTGTAATTTACCATATAGTATCTTCAGACTTGCTTTTTCTTATTTTTTATTGAGGCTTTATAGACTGTAGCAACCATGACCAATACTATGTGAATGTTCAATAAACGTTTAAACAGATTACTTTTTATTAGCCATTTTTCTCCTACTGCTTAGCAGGAATAAGTACAATTGCAAGAATTATGATTTTTAGCCTCTCTTCAGATTTAACATGTAAATTGGTACATGTCTAGAAATTCTTTTTTTTTGTTGAGTCATAAAAGAAGATTACAATTGTAATCTTCCGTATGCAGGTTAAATCCTACATTTAATTTGCATATGGAAATGGCTGTATTAAAGCTAAACCAGTCTTCCCTAATATTAAACTTCAAGTGGATTTATTATACATTGCCTCATGGTTAGAACAGAGGGGACCAGGAATAAAGGGTTTATTCCAAGCATACATGATAATTTCCTTTACCTTTGAAGAGAGAGGAGCACAGCATAAGGATACCAAGTTTTTTGTGTTACATGGACTCTACAGAACTTTTTTTCCCTCTTTATTTAGGTCAATGGCACAGATGCAGATTATGAATATGAAGAAATCACGCTTGAAAGGGTAAATATACTTCCATAAACTTTATTCAGCAAGAGGTTTCATACTGTGGTTATATATAGCTGAGACTGATATTACAATCATAAGGGTAATATTTCAATATATTATATATTCCAATATATATATTGCAATATTAGCCTTGTGATTATAATATCAGTTCCTGTGTAAACAGTCACACAAGAAATTGCTTTATTGTTCTTCTTTGTTTGTTATTAGATGCATCATTTATCATTTATTTTATTATAGCTTGTTTTCGAAATTCCTGGTGCCAGTTGAGTATTGTGGAGAATTCAGGTACATAACAAACATCCAGAAACGTCAAACATAAAAAGGACAGTACAGTTGCCATGCTCATTGCTCTGATGGATCCATACATGTTGGTGTTAGAGCAAAAGTATGCAGATATGAGTTTTTTCTATTAGAGCAATGTGTACACAGTTTTCATGCTCGGGGTTCCTAGATTTTGTTACGCTGTGAGCTTTCTTCAACTACAAAAAAAGTTTACTTGGCTTCCTTATAAATTCCAGTTTTCTTCCATAAATCAGCATTTTACTTAATGCCATAGCATTAACAAAGGAGAGTGCTGCCTATTTTGTGAATGACGCAGTAAGTCCAGGCTGAGCCTTAGGTAGCAGCAGTGCACTCTTTGCTGGCTGGGAGGCTCACAGTGTTGAACTGGTGAATCCAGTTGGTAACGGAGTGCCTGTGTTTAGGGAGCTGGAATACGTGCGTGTACAATGCCTCGCGAGCTCCACGCGCTACGTGTGTAAATATCCTCATCGGTTGGTCAGTGCTAGGGCAAGACGGTGCTGTCTGTAGCTCTCATTGGTTAGTTGTAAACAAGGACACTCGCACAGTCTGACTTGTTCCTACACTAATAAACCAAGTTGTATTTTACAGTATGGCAGGAACTCTTCTCCAAAAATAAAATTTTCTCTCCCTCCCACCTCCCCCAGGGAAATTCAGGGCTTGGCTTCAGCATTGCAGGCGGTACGGACAACCCGCACATTGGAGATGACTCAAGTATTTTCATTACAAAAATCATAGCTGGGGGTGCAGCTGCCCAGGATGGAAGATTACGGTATGTTAACTGTAAAAAATAAAAAAACAAACAAAAACAAAACAAAACAAAAAAAAAAAAACCCCCCAAAAAACAGGCTGCTGAATTTTCATTCCGTTTTAATGGCAGTAAGCAAAACATTTTTAAAATTTCTATTTCTTTTAGTTGTGTAGAACTTAAAAACTGCACTGCACTATTTTTGGAAAATGTATTTTGTGTATAATATAAACCATGCATTTAAACCAAGTGCCTTGACATGTATATATTTTTAATTTTGAATGAAGTTCATAGTTTCACAGTTAGTAGGGTCGGAAGGGACCTGAGCAGATCATCAAGTCTGACCCCTTGCCATGGCAGGAAAGAGTACTGGGGAGTACAACAAGGTCGTTTGACCCCAGTTCAGATTCTCCAACTTTGAATTCAGTCGACTCAGTTGTGCTGCGTAAACATGATTTGCCAGTAGTTCTAGCTTCCTTAATGCAGAAGGGTTGGTAACAGTATGTGGTAGGGGTGCACCGATAAAGATTTTTTGGGCTGTTACCGATGGCAGATTATTAATGAGCCATATCAGCCAATATTGATCTAGTTGCCAATGTGCAGCATCTCCCAACAGCTTGGAGAGCAGCATCTGGCTGTTAAGTCTGTGGGGAGAAGCCATTTACGAGCCATCGAGACCCCTATGGTGAGGGAGGGAGAAGGGGCAGGCTGTGCCCAGCCGTGCAGGAAGGCTGGGGGACGGCATGCAGGACAGAGGCAAGGGCAGTGGCTTGTCTGGGGGGGTGGGGTAGGGGCGGCTCCTGCTGCTGGCACACCCTGGGGAAGGCACAGGGGGGCATATGACCTTTCATTTGTGCGTGGGGAAAGTGTGGGCTGCCGCTGTAGGCTGGGGCCTGGAGCAGTGCCACCTTTTTCCCAGTGCAGGGGCTGAGCTGGGGCTGTGCTAAGGCCGGCGGTGCTGGGGGGGGCGGCCTGTTGGGTGGGCTATGGCAACCCCAGCATTCGCCATAGCCACCCCCAAACTCCCCCTTCCAGCACCACCACTGCCTGCCTCACATATAGCCCCAGCCCAGCCCTTTTGCTGGGAAGCACCTTCTGCCCCCCCAGCCCCAGCTTGCAGTGGCAGCTGCCCTTGCCCCGTGCCTCCCCTGGGGTGCACCAGCAGAGAGAGCCACAGCCCCCCCATGCCCCCAGATGAGCCACTCGCGGTTCTGTCCCCTGCCCCAGCCCCAAGCCCAACTCCCTCACTGTGGGGGCCTTGATCTGCCCTCCACACCCCTTCCCTCCCCCTGGCCCTTTTCCCCCACAGACTTACCAACCAGACGCTGCTCTCCAAGCTGCATGGCTGCGCACATTTACGCAGCATTTATCGGCAACATTATCAGCTACATCAGCCAAAAGAAGCCAATTGCCAATAATGTAACTTTGCTTTTATCAGTGCCAATATGATATGAACCAATATGTTGGTGCACCTCTAGTATGCGGGCCCTTATTTAAAGTTTATCACTGCTATCGGACAGGTTCTTAGCCCTGACTGGGTTTGACTGGGCATCCTCAAGGGGAATGGACCAACTGTCACTTTCTTTTCCCTTCGCTGTCCCCCAGCGTGCAGGGCTTGCAGACCGCACTCTCTGATTCTGAGGCAGTGAAGCAGATCTCCTGGCACAGGCCTTGAGCATCTCTGAGCTTTGGTTCTGTGGAGGAGGAAGTCATGCTTGTTGCTAACTCCAGTCCCTCAGCTGCACTGTGCCTGAACTCAGGTTTTATTTCAGATGAAAGTATTCCTTGAGATAGTTGGCTGGAAAAGCTACAGCGCAGGCAGATGGAGGACTGAAACCCGTGCAGGATGATGGATAGCAAACATGTCAGGCCTGATGTTTTTAATTTTTTTTCATGTACCAAGTACATCGCTAGCATTACTTGCTGGCAGTCAGGCCAAGCACATCAACTGGGGTAGCATCAGCATCACATTAAATGAGTGGAAGGCCAGCAGTTTTATAATCAGTTTGCCAGGAGAACGGCAGGATTTCATAGCAGAGCAGAGGTTACATTTGTGAAAGTAACAGGTTAAAATGAGCTGCATCTCAGTCTATGCATCCCATGTGGATGGTAATTCCATTACTGATGTTAAGTTTTTGTAAAAAAAAAAAAAAAAAAAGTCTTACATTCTGACTGCAATATTACAGAATATCACAGAATGCCTAACATACAAATTAAAGCATTAAAATATTTATTAATCTAAAAGTTTTTCACAAGATGGGTTATTAGTTATAAACAAAATAGTCTTCCATTAAATGGTCTTTTCACTCTTAATTATCTTACAGATTGCATTTCCAGTATGATTTGTTATTAAAGAATATATATGCTCCATATATTTTTCAAAAATACATTATGCATTGTACCTCCATTGTGTTAATTCATAGTGTCATCCAGTTCAGATGCTACTGGACCACTGCTATGTTTAGTTCACTATATATAATACCTCTGTTAAATGCAAGGCTTGTTGTTCTCAGGGTCAATGATTGTATATTACGAGTAAATGAAGTGGATGTTCGTGATGTGACGCACAGCAAAGCGGTTGAAGCTTTAAAGGAGGCAGGGTCCATTGTACGATTGTATGTCAAAAGAAGAAAGCCAGTTACAGAAAAAATAGTGGAGATAAAGCTTGTGAAAGGTCCCAAAGGTATGTGGAAGTATCAATCTATTTTCTTCCAAAAAAGATAAAGGTGCCAAGAGGTTCTAGTCATTTGTTTTCCAAAATTTAGTAATGGGCACAACAGTGAAGGCTAAGTTCTTAATTGAACACTCAGGGTTGGTTCGTATTCTCTGTTAGATACCTAATTGCAGTCCTGTTGCATCCTAAGTCCCTGAAAATGAATAATTGCACCCATTTTTGCAATATGCTGTCTGCTTTGCCCTAAGACAGTCACAAAAAATTGCAGCAAGGAAGAGCAGGGCCCACTTACCTTTTATTTTAAGTTTTTCAGGGACTTCAGCGGGGTGATATAGAATCACCCTGAGACACCTTATTACTGTGGTACAGTGTGTCCCTCATAGTTTAACAGCAACAGACAGTAATACAAAAGACAGGTATATTTTAAATGCTATTAATACAGACCTTGCTTAATTAAAGTTAAATTATTACCTTAATAATATAGTAACTTTCAAGAGTAATACGTCAGTCATAGTACTGGACTAAACTTTTCATATGAAATCTATTTACAGAGACTCTTCTGCTTTTGTATCAATATTTGGAGATTTTAAAAGATTCTAAAAAAGCTCTTTAAAGTGAAAGAGGTGGGTTGAATTAAAAGTACTGTAGCTGAGCTATGCATATCTTTCAAAAACGGTTGCAACTTTTGTGTTGTGATTAACACACATTGTTAAAAGTTTTAAAGGTTTTCTGGAAAAAGAATTTTATTTTCAAGCAGGTCTTGGGTTCAGTATAGCTGGTGGTGTTGGAAACCAGCATATTCCTGGAGACAACAGCATCTATGTAACTAAAATTATTGAAGGAGGTGCAGCACATAAAGATGGCAAACTTCAGATTGGAGATAAGCTTCTAGCGGTAAGTAAAGGTTGCCCTTTCCCTTCTGCACCTGCATTTTAAAAGTACATGTCAAGTAATGGTATAATATAGCTAGTGTCCAGCAGCCAGGAAATAGAGATGCATTACACACATCGTTAAAATTAATGCAAACCTAATTTTTAATCAAAAACTGTAAATTTCGTGCAAGTCACTTTAAATTGGCAGCAGATAACACGGCCAGCCTTTTATATTGTGCAAACGGCACAAGCCACTTGTCAACTCCTATTAATTTCTATATGAAGGTGCTGCTTATGATGAATCAAGGGTGCCCACTATTTTGTTTTGGAGCACCTGCCATGTGTGCCTCTCTGTTAGCACCTGATTAAGTCTGGCTGCATTGTCATTCAAGAGTCCTGGCAGAAGCAATTAATCAACTCAGCAGCAGTCTGACAGCTGCTTACAGCACTTAACACCTTCTCTGGGCTGCAGGTGAAGCAGAGCCTGTTGCACAGTACAGTCCTAACTGCGCAACTCCATTGGGAATCGAGGGGCAAGGTTCTGCTGTTCCAGGGGTCTCTGAGTCTCAGGATCCTTGAGTGCTGTGCTATAGGTTGAGCCGACTTAGGAAACCTATGTTGAAGACAGAAGGGCTGGGTTCCGCTGGAGACCTTTGGCAAAAGCCATTGCATCTGGAGCTCCCCAAGGCAGCAGAACCTTTCCCGATGCCAGCAGCTAGGCTATGATTGCCAGCCAGGCAGTGAGGTTGCCAGAATCGCTGGCTACTTGGCATGTTGGCCAGTTTCCTGGTTGCCAGATAAGCCTGCCAGGCATGTCTTTGACTGCATTCAAGTAATGCATTCCTCGCACTTAAAACACGTGCATTCAGTAATTTTCTGAATTTGCAAGCTGGCTCTAAGGTTTCACTTAAAATCCTCTGCATGTCCTGTAGGAGTCCTTGTGCTTCATCACTGGGGTCTGTTATTAGGCTTTTGGGGACACAGGGTCTTTCTCACATTTTAACACAAGCTTTGGTAAGACTAAGTTGCTGCTGACCTAAAAATGCCTACATGCATATCAGTAGCTAGGGAATGACTGGCCTAGAGACTTAGGCGCATCTAACTAGATTTTCAGAGCGCCTTGAAAATCTTTAGTGTTTTTTTCCGTGAAGCAAATGCTTTATACTGTGACTGCAGGATAATGAAGAAAAATAGTTTATATTTGCACCAGGTCTTGCTAGTAACCCTGTAGTGTGGACAGCATGCTTTCATCATCTGATAATGAAGCTAGGAATCAAGAGCTTTACATTCTAATCCTAGCTCTCATTGCCAGACTGTTACACTCCAGCTCATACCATGTGGTGCCTTACTCCATAACAGCAATTATGGAGCAATTATTAGCATCTCTGTAACCAATACTAGGGAAAAATCTTGCCCAGTGCTGTTCTGAAAGGACTTGTGCAGAGTGGGATCAGTACAGTATGGCTTCCCTCAAGTCTGTGTGCTGAATTAGTTTTGCAGGGATCCGCACCCCATTTTAAAGCTTAGTTCTTCTACCTTGTGTTATGGAAACTTCCCAAACAAAACCAGTGCCCCTTTCAGCATGCACCAGATCATCAGCTAGCCTTTTGTGGCACACTGTACAGCTTGAATCACAGGAGCAGGTTTTACTGAAGGAGCTTGTTGCTTAAATATGTGCAGTAATTTAGAGTGAAGATGTTAGCATGAATATAATTCTCTTGACAAAGCACTGTGTAACAATCTAATGATTGTCACCCTGATCGACAATGAATGGAGTGTTGCTGGAGCTCAGAAGTTCAGTAATTTTACTTTGTTAGTGTTACTGGCCAAGGCTACAGGTGCACTTAAATTTTTTTTCCCCTTGTTTGCTTGTTTTTCCCCTCTATCCTGTCTGTGGTCTTGCTATGGAAATGTTTAGACCTTTGTTTTGTACCAATAATTCCACTCGTGTATAGGGACTTGCATACTGTACATTTTTGCATCCTTCTTATTTTGTGTGTCTGCACGTGGCTCTGTTTAGATGCGTGAAAAATCTGCAGTTATTTTTAGAGGGTAATGAGTATAGTATGAATAGGAAAAGTACTTAAGTGAGGGAAAGATCTAGTATTAGCACATTTTGGCAAAATACTCATTTTATATTTTTTTTAATATAAAGAAATTGCTGCCCTCCAAAGGTGTCAAGCGCAGTATTCAATACATTTTATCTTAAGAAAGGTCTTACTTTGTTTAACTTTGCATTTAATGTGATTCCTTGTTCAGACTGCTGGACTGGATTCAACCTTCTGAGTCATAAAACCCAGTTTGCTGCTATTGCTAGCAACCGTCTGAGATCTCTTTCATAAACTGGTCAGGCTCCTTCTTGAAGACAAGTTAAATTTCCCATCCTTACTGTTCCTGCTGGTTTATTGCTTCAGAACCTCTTTGCTTAGTTAGTCAGGAGCCCACTTCTCATTTCCTAAAGTTATTCTTGACTATTTCATGCCCATTTGTTTTTGTCAGTTTTTTCCCTTAGCAAAAATGCTTCTTTTCCTGCCCTAGACTTTACCTCCCCAGTGTGTTTCCAGGCAGCAGAGGCGGGCAGTGGGTCCCACAGGGTTCGGTCCTTGGGCCAGTATTATTTAATATCATCATCAGTGATTTGGACAAGGGTATATTGAGCACCCTCTCCAAGTTCACAGATGATACCAAATTATGGCGCAAAGTTAATACACCAGAGGGCAGGGAGCAGTTACAGGCCGACCTGGACAAGTTAGATCAGTGGGCGGAACGTAATAGGATGCAGTTCAACAAAGATAAATGCAAGGTGCTCCACCTAGGAAGGAGGAATCCCCAGCACACTTATAGGCTGGGGGATGGATGTCCTCCTCAGCAGCTCAGAGGCTGAGAGAGATCTTGGAGTCATGGTTGACTCCAAGATGGACATGAGCCGGCAGTACAACTAGGCCATCAACAAAGCCAATCGCACCTTGTCGTGCATTAGCAGATGCATGACCAACAGATCTAGGGAGGTGATGCTTCCTCTCTATGCGGCATTGGTCAGGCTGCAGTTGGAGTACTGTGTCCAGTTTTGGGCGCTGCACTTCAAGAGGGACACGGAGGATCTGGAAAGGGTTCAGAGGAGGGCCACCCGCATGATTAGTGGTCTCTGTGAAAGACCCTATGAGGAGAGGTTGAGAAATCTGGATCTCTTCGGCCTTTACAAAAGACGGCTGAGGGGTGACCTTGTGGCCACCTATAAATTTATCAGGGGAGGACAGCAGGGAATTGGAGAAGCGCTGTTTCCCAGAGCGCCTCAGGGAGTAACTAGGAACTATGGGTGCAAACTCGTGGAGAGTAGATTTAGGTTAGACATTAGGAAGACATTTTTTACAATAAGGGTGGCCAGAGTCTGGAATGGGCTTCCAAGAGAGGTGGTGCTGCCACCTCACTCGGAGGTCTTCAAGAGGAGGCTTGACAAGCACCTGGTGGGGTCATCTGACCTCAGTCTTTTTTCCTGCCAGGGGCAGGGGGTTGGACACGATGATTCATTGGGTCTCTTCCGACTCCACAATCTATGCAGCTATGAATCTCACCTAGCCTTTGTTTTGCTAGACTGAACAAGCCAAGCTCTTTTTCTCGCCTCCCCCAGGATAGTTCTCCATTCTTCTTGCATGTGAATATCCCTCCTCTGCACCTTTTGAATTCATCTTTCTTCAGGCAAGTGACTGGAAATGTATGTAGTATTTCAGGTAAGGTCTCATCAGTGCCTTGTGCAGTGACATCGGTACTTTTTGTCTTTACCACTCCTGACGAATTCTAGGATTTTACTTATTTTTTCATGGGTGCATCCCATTAATTGCTCAAAATCATCTTATGCTTGAGCAATACCCCAGCTCTTTTCCCCTCACTTGTTTTTAGCTGATGAGCACTCAGTGTTTAGTAGAAATCATAGAAATGAAGGGCTGGAAGGGACCGTGAAAGATCATCAAGTCCGACCCCTTGCTCTGGGCAGGAATACGGCTAAGGTCAAATGATCCCAGCAAGGTGTCTGTCCAGTGTCCTCTTGAAGACTTCCTAGGTTGGGGACTGCATCCCCCCCTTGGGAAGTCAGTTCAGGGATTCTGGTCACCCTTACCATAAAGAAAATCTTCCTTGCATCCAACCTGAAACCATCCTCTGACAGTTTATGGCCACTGCTCCTTGTCCTCTCCTAGGGCGCCCCAGTGAACAGTTTTTTCTCCCAGCTCCCGATATTCACCCCATTCCATACTTCTAGACGGCCACCAAGTCCCCCCTCTTGTCTTCTCTTCCCCAGGCTGAAAGTCCCACATCCCTTAGTCTTTCCTCATAAGGTTTGTCCTCTAGGCCCTTAATCATTCTTGTGGCCCTTCTCTGGACCCTTTCAAGAGAAGGGCCACAAGAATGATTAAGGGCCTGGAGGACAAACCTTATGAGGAAAGTTCCTTCAGTTCATGACTACACTTTCTGCTATTAAATTTCATCCCATTTCTATTACTCCAGTCCTCAAGGTCACTCAAAACTTTTTGTCTGATACTTCGGTCCTCCTCCACATTGATGATTCCTTCAAAGTCGGTGTTGTTAGCAGATTTCACCAGCACATTCTTAATATTCGTGTCAAGGTCACTCTTGCAACTATTAAACAGGATTAAATGAGACCAGTCTCAAGACCAACACTTGAGGGATTTAATTAATAACTTTCCAGCCAGATGTTTCTCCTTTCAGTACTACCCATTGTCATTTTCCTTGATTCAGACCTTACCTCCCATATAATTCTTGCATTTATCCCCATTTCCTCCATCTCGTGGCACAGCACTGAATGTTTTTCTTTCCACCAGCATTTTATGCCACGAGAAAAACAGTTACAAAGGAGAGATCAAGATAGCCTGGTGTGATCTACCTTTGGTCAACCCATGTTGCTTTTGATTTGATTTTTCATCTGTGTCCATATCTTTTCATTTTTCCTTTTTAAATTTTTTTTCTTTTCCCTAAAACCTTGTGTGCTGATTGGGTGGGATGAATGGG